CAAGAACATAAGGGCCCTATGATCCTCTATTGCCTGGGGGCCCCATGAGTTGTCAGTCCACCCCTGCCTATCCTATGTGTCCATGCACATAGAAGCTTTTAGTAGCAGTAATGTTTACCAGCAGAAAAAAAAACCCCAGGGTCAGTGCGTCCAGGAGCAGCAATGCTTTGGCAGTAAAAACGCTTGATGCTGATAAATGCGCCTAAACGTGTGTTAATGCTAGGCTTATTCATTCTGGCCAATTAAATGAATTAACGCCAAAGTGCTTGATGCTTGTAAACATGCCCAAATGCTTGTAAAAGCTTAGATACTTTTCTGCAAAAATGCTGCTGCCAGGAGGAAGGCTTCTAGGAGAGTTTTATTTTAACATCCTGTGTGCATGAAGCCTTATACACATGAAATTCAAGTGGGGGATGTAGTAGTTCAGTTGCGTATGTACTAGATGAACAATGATATAATGATTCTTAGAAAGTTTCAATGGCCTCATTGAGGCCATCTGGGATAAGTGTGTTCAGTCCACGTATCCAGGAAGTTTCTCATTTGCAGAATCTTGTAATTCTGTTGTATTTCTTGGAAACAGGGATTTGTTCCACAATCATTGCTGATGGTAAGTGCAGATCTTTGTTGTGATGTATCAAGAAATGCCTTGACACACTGTGCTTCTTATATCCCAGCCTGATGTTGGATCTGCTTGTTTACAAATATATAGGATGGACCTCCCGTGCTACCTGCCTGTGCACCAAAGAAAGGGGGAGCTGCTATAACCTGACTATATGCCTAGATAGAAATAGATGTATAATACAACAAAATGGTGTAGCGCTATCCCAAACATTCTGTAACTTCATCCACATATATAAATTATATTATACAGTGTAGCTCAATATAGGTGGAAACAAGTGAAAATATTAACTATAGAACTTTAAGAAACCAGAAAGAAATCAGAATAAAACCACAAACTGACCATGAAAAATGGTCAGTGAGATTAAAGTGTACAACAGAAATATGAAAAAAAACGTCCCTAATATCATAAGGTGTATATGTGCTCCCAGATGTCTGAAAGTGACATCCAGTATTGCCTAGTAAAAACTGGTGAAAATAAATAGTGAGAACCAATTGAGGAGACTGCTGATCGAGGGAAAAGGTCAGTAATATAAATGCAAAAATAGTGAATGGTGCCAAGCCGTCCTAAATGCAGAAGGCTAACAGTGATAAAAGTGAACTCCCAGATGCCGAAAGAATGGCATCAACATATTGACCCTAATGCCTAAATGCATATATCAACATGCAATAACATTAACCATGAGACCAAAAGGGTCCTAAATATTCCCCTATATAATCATAGATGTGACACTGTGCAAAAGTGACCTTCATAGAAATATAATGGAACAAAAAACATGCACCACTGAAATGCCCTCCGGTCCAATCAATCCCATACGTGGGAGACAAACATGAATGACATAGGCACCTTGTGACTAAGGTATGCAAATATAAACCCCAAAGACAATCAATTATACAAAAAATATAGTAACGATAATGACAAAGATCAAAAGAAAAGTCCACGTAAAGCACAAGTCCTAAAATGTGGAACATATGCAGATACCAACTTCTGATGCAGGTGGTTTCTGGAAATGAATCCGTCACCAGCTGGATTGCCCCCTCACCTCAACACATAGATCCCATAGGGCCAATGTGCTAGAAGAATGCAATGAAAAATGCTCCTTGTGGATGCCTCTGATCTTTACCCAGGTCTCAGAAATGATGGTGGTATCCACCTGTTCACCAATGAAACTCCTGTCTTTCGATCTCTCTTTAAACTCCTCCACTGTATGCAGCCATCTCATAGCAGCCATGGTCCAGTCCACTCCATGGATGAAGCAGAGGATCCTCAGAGTACGTATCTGACATTATCCAGTATATGTGATATATAACAGTTGGATGGGTCGGTATGAGCACATAGCTGGGCAGTGCTGGAGTCCATCAGAATTCTGGTGTTGTTCCATGGGACATTGTCTGTTCTGTAGTATCTCTGGCTGTGGTGCCCAAAATGATGGGTGATGAGATAAAGGGTGGCTTCTTGCACAATTCCTGTCCAAACACCCTTGGTAGTGGAGATGGACTTCTAGCACAGTGGAAGGGCGCAGGTGCCAGGAATCTGCAGCAGTGAACTGGAGCTCCTTGCGGCAGTGCTGTTCCTGATCCCTTTCACATGTGTGTTTGTCTGTGCTCACCTATGATACCTGAGTACATAGGTTATAAATTGGGATGAACAGTTGAAAAAGGTGTTAAAGGACCATTCAGTCCCACTGCTGGTGGCAATAGCACTGAGTTCTTTTGTCAAGTGACTGGCATGCCAGACACTTGGGCACTCCACATTAGACACATATCAATATCACATATCAATATACCTGTAGAGTATTAAAAATACATTATATAGGGAATAAAGGTATCTCCCCCACAATAAGGGCCTGTTTACTTCTCCAATAAAGTGTACCTATTCACCTCAGAAGGATGTCGCCACACAAGTGGCATCACAAGCTAGGCTAAATCCCTGGGGTTAAATAGGTTGAGCAAGCATTTCGAGAGCATCCCCAGCTGAAATTTTTTACTTATATTTTTCTATATATTTTTTTTACCTCTGCCTTTCTCTTCCCCTTTGCTCCTTGGTCTTAATGAGGATAGCCTTGATTGATTCTTACATAGAAGCTAGTATTGCCCTCTGTCAATCACTGAAGGTGAGTCAATGAGAAGAGAGAAAGGCGCAGCTGAGCTGCAGCTGTGTGTGTGAAAGTACATGCAGAGCAGTGGCTTGGGGGAGAGCCTGCTTAGGTGCCCCCATAGCAAACTTCTTTCTGCGGGGGCACTTGGCTGGGAGGGAGGGGCCATGAGCAGGGCTGCTCTGTGCAAAACCACTGCACAGAGTAGGAAAGTATAACATGTTTGTTATTTTAAAAAATATATATTTAATCTATTTTTTTTGCCAGTTGATTGTTAAACTTTGATGTAGTTATATCTGCCAGCTCTGTGTTGATTTGCTGGATTATATTGTTTGGTATGTCCTTTTTTGGAAGTAGAGAACACAACATCAACTTTGAATAGGACTAATTTGCAGTGTGGTCTCTGCTAGTTGTGACAGTCTGTCCGCAATGACTTGTAGTTCCTAGATATTGTTTGTGCCTGTGTGTATGATCACTTGTTTGGGGTTTGTGGAATATGGACTATTAAAGCTGAAGTTTAGTTAACAGCAAAATTGTCTACATCTTTAGTTCCATTACTGGCCTGTAATGAAGTATGTCCCATGATGTGAAGGCTGCTGGATTATCAAGCAATCCTCACTACAAGGCTGCCCTGTCTTCTTCCTGTGCTAAAGAGGATCTAACAGGAACTGCCCTTCCTGCCCTTTTCTCCAAGTTCTTTCACTGATTTCCCTGCCTGTAACACAATCTGTGAATTGGAGAGAGCATCCTGTGACTGATCAGACTCTTCCCATTCATAGAATGTATTACAGGTAATGTAATCAGTAAAATAACTTTTCTTAACCACTTGCCTACTGAGCACTTACAGTACACCCCCTTCCTTACCAGGCCAATTTTCAGCTTTCAGCGCTGTCACACTTTGATTGACAATTGCGCGGTCATGCAGGATTGTACCCATATGAAATTTGTATCATTTTTTTCTCACAAATAGAGCTTTATTTTGGTGGTATTTACTCCCCGCTGGGCACTTTACTTTTTGCGCTATAAACAAAACAATTGCAAAAAATTTGAAAAAAAAAATGTCTTTGTTTTTATTATAAAAATTTTTCAAACAAGTAATTTTTCTCCTTCACTGATGTGCGTTGATGAGGCAGCACTGATGGGCACTGATAGGCGGCACTGATGGGCACTGATAGGCGGCACTGATGGGCATTGATAGGCAGCACTGATGGGCACTGATAGGCAGCACTGATGGGCATTGATAGGCAGCACTGAAGGGCACTGATAGGCAGCACTAATGAGGTGGCACTGATAGGTGGCACTGATAGGCAGCACTAATGAGGTGGCACTGATAGGCAGCACTAATGAGGTGTCACGGGTAGGTGGCACTGATAGGCAGCACTGATGATGGGTACTGATAGAGAGCACTGATAGGTACAACTGACTGGCATCAACTGCTGGGCACTGACTAGCGGCACTTCAAGGCATTGACTGGCGCAACTGCTGGACACTGACTGGTGTCACTGACTGGCAGCACTGCATTGATGGGCACAGGTGGGTGGAACTGGTGGGCACAGGTAGGTGGCACTGGTGGGCACAGGTAGGTGGCACTGGTAGGTGGCACTGCTGGGCATGGTTGGATGCACTGATGGGCACAGGTGGGTGCACTGATGAGCACTGGTGGGCGGAAATGGTGGGAGGCACTGCTGGGCACCAATCATCAGGGCACTGATTATCAGTGCCCTGATGATCAGTGCCGATCCCTGCTCTGACAACTGCCGGTTCTCGGCAGTACTTTCCTCGCGCTCTGACAGTGTGAGGAAAGTGCAGCCAAGAACTGGCAATTGCATTTCCCGGTGATCAGCGTGTCATTGGACATGGCTGATCACATGGTAAAAGGCTGCTGTTATTGGCCTTTTACCACATCACACGTGATCAGCTGTGTCCGTAGGACACAGCGATCACGGAGATCACTGGGGGTGTGCCCCCGGGTGCGCGCAGGAGAGCGTGTTCTGGGAGGACGTCATATGACGCCCTCCCAGAACTGGCCGGCCGCAGTGTAGCTGTCATTTGGCTACCTGCGGTTGGCAAGTAGTTAATAGAAGAGAAGGCAGGAGGGAATATGTCTGCATCAGATCATCTTTATCTGAGACTACAGACCCAAAGCTGTTAACGCCCACAGCTCTGGAAGTTCAGCAGCAAGAAGAGGACAGGGCAGCCTTGCAGTGAAGATTTCTACACAATCCAATGGCCTGCATTTACATTGCACATTTATATTGTCTTTGCAGCCTCCAAAAATGTCGTTTAACTTCTTTGTGTTGTGAAGATCTCCACTCTGTTCTTATCACAAACCGATCTCTCAGAAAACTGGATTTATCGGAAAATCCATTGCAGGACTCAGGAATAAAACGTCTGTGTGAGGGACTCCAAGATCCAGGATGTACGCTGCAAGACCTAAGGTGAGAATTATATTACAATCTATACAATTTACAGGACTTTGGAGTGATGTTTGATGGTGAGGAACTCTGAAATGTGAGCTTTACAATGAAAGACCTAAAAAGTCATGCAATAATCTTCATAAATCTGGAGTAAACTGTAATATTTATTTCAGGTACTTATATATCGCTGTCAATTTACACAGCACTTTACATATATATTGTACATTCACATCAGTCCCTAACCCTCAAGGGGTGTACAATCTAAGGTCCCTAACTCACATTCATACATACACATACTAGGGACAATTTAGACAGGAGCCAATTCACCTACCAGCATGTCTTTGGTGTATGGGAGGAAACCGGTGAACCCAGAGGAAACCCACGCAAGCACAGGGAGAACATGCAAACTCCAGGCAGGTGGTGCCATGGTTGGGATTTGAACCAATGACCCTAGTGCTGTCAGGCAGAAGTGCTAACCATTTAGCCACTGTGCTGCCCTAATATGAGGGACTCAGAGTTGTGCTGTACCCTGAAGGACCTGAGATGAGAATTACAGTATATTGTAAATTATGCATTAAACTACAAGACCCTAGTATAAACCCCAGGGAACAGGCAAACATCCTTTAACCGCGTGCCTACAGGGCACTTATACCCCCTTCGTGCCCAGGCCAATTTCCAGATTTCAGTGCTATCACACTTTGAATGACAATTGCGCGGTCATGCAACACTGTACCCATATGACATTTTTATCATTTTTTTGTGACAGGTAGAGCTCTCTTTTGGTGGTATTTAATCACCTTGGGATTTTTTTTTTTTTTTTAAACAAACCAAAAACCGATGAAAATTTTGAAAAAAAAAATGTTTTTTCTTAGTTTTTTATTATAAAATATTGTAAATAAGTGATTTTCCTCCTTCACTGATGTGCGCTAATGAGGCTGCAGTGATAGGCTGCACTGATGGACACTGATAGGTGACACTGATGGGCACTGATGAGGAGGCACTGGTAGGTGTGCACTGATGGGCATTGACAGGCATCACTGATGGGCACTGAAAGGCAGCACTGATAGGCAGCACTGACTGGCACTGATAGGTGGCACTGACTGGCACTGATAGGCGGCACTGACTGGCACTGATAGGCAGTACTGATTGGAAGCACTGATAGGTGGCACTTACTGGCACTGATGGGTGACACTGAAAGGCAGCTCAGATGGGCACTGATATGTGGCATTGATGTGCACTAGTAGGTAATGATATGTGGCATTGATGTGGCACTGATGGGCACTGGCACGTGGCACTGTTCAGCACTGACAGCTGGTACTGATAGACACTGAGAGGTGGCACTTCTGGGGCCACACTGATCATCAGGGCACACTGATCATCAGTGCCCTGATGATCAGTGTATATGTCCCCTCTGTGGAATGCCGATTACCGGCTCTCCTCTCCCCTCCTCTGTCAGCGTGACAGCTCAAGAGGAGAGAAATGCCGATAACCAGCATTTCCCTGTTTACTTGTGATCAGCTGTGGTTGGACACAGCTGATCACATGACTGAGCCGACATCTTCGGCTCTTTCCGTAGATCGGTGATCCGCTGTGTCCAAGGGACACAGTGCACAGCCGAACGCCGTGCTGCGCGCTCCCTGAGTCGCACATGCGCGGTGAGAATGGGAGGACGTCATATGACATCCTCCCAGAATGAGAGAACCACCTTGTGCCCGTCATTGGACTATATGGCGGGCGGGAGGTGGTTAATCAAGAAATGAACACTTGTTAAGACTGTTAGGGGATGGGCACTCTTATGATGGTCAGAGGAATGAGGACTCTTCTGATGGTCAGGGGAACAGGCACTATACTGCTACTTTGGGACAAATAGGCACACTTAAACTGGTTGGGGGAACAGGCACTCTTCTGATGGTTGGAGGGGAGGGGCAGACATCTGGTGGATAAAAATAATTATAGCCAGCAATATTGCCACCGCTGTTGCCTAGTGCGCATGCGCGGGATCGCAAAACGGCGCATGCGTGCCTTATTATATATAAAGACCCACATGAGACAGGGTTCTCTCCCTTTGAAAATGTGTTATTACACAAAACGCGTTAGGGAGACCCCCTTTTATCATGGATTATTGACTTTGATGTTACTCCATTTGTCAATTAAAAATACTACACTATTGGAGTTTTCTCTCTTCTGGGCTCATTTTTTGGTATCTTGAGCTCCCTTCCCCTGAAGGTGCTTTTAAAGTGGATTCACACTTGAATGTATGATCCCCCCCGATGGCTGAAATCCATACTGCAGGATATAGTTAACCTGATGTGTTCACACACTGCTGGAGAGAGGCAACCTGCCCTGGTTGGATGACATCTGGTGATGCACCCCCACCTGACTACTTCATCCACATGCAGAGTTCCTGTCCCCAGAGCACCTTGGAGTAGGTCTTATATACTCCAACGCACAAGAAGAACTTGTGCTATCTGGTTAGTGCATTGTATGCTCATTCTTCACAGCCACGGGAGTCACGAAAGTTATACAGTTACTCATTGAACCACTATTGTCACACTGCACCTTATGAACTATACTTAAGACTTTACTTCAGTTGTGTATTAGCTTATCTGTTTATCTTTTTCACATTTTAGCACCGTATTTTTACTGTTTTATTGACATACTTTGGAGGATTTGAGGTTTTTCCTCTTCTATGCTGGCTGCTTCCTTTCTCTATATTACCCAGAGCTCATATGCTACTGTTTATATGAGAATAGACCAGACCACATTCCAGAGGGTTTCCAGAGGGTTTCCTGGATTCAAACCTTAAGAGGGGTTATCTCTTACATGCGCATATTGATTGTGCATCTGGTGAGTGCGCAGTCCTATATCATTTTGGATATCACCACGTTTATATTCATCATAAGAGATCCTCATGATCCTGTCAACACTGGGATATTGTAGACTGGGCACTCACGAATATTACTGAATAGTCACGACACAGTGACATATATAATTTATGTGTGGACTTTACACTTTGCACTTTAATGTGTTTTGCACCAAAGTGTGTTATTCATAATAATCTATGCACACAGGGACACTTGTTTTTATAGTATTTTTAGCATTTTATTAAATTTTATTTTATGTATTATTTATAATTTTACAGCGCTGCACCCACCTGCTTATTTTTTTTTTTATCAGTTGTTGACTGAGTGTAGAAGATCTTGATTGTATGGATTTGGAAGATCTTGATTGTATAGATTTGGAAGATCTTGAGTGTCTAGTAGATGCAGAGTGATAAGACCTTGATTCATGGAGCTGTGCTATTCTCACTTCTGCCGTTGTCTTTGTTCGCACCACTAAATTGTCTCTTTCAAAATTGAGCTCCTCAAATCTCACTAATTCTTCCAATGACTCCTGAGTGTTGTACGGCTTTAACAGAGCAATATATGTAGCACAGTCTTTTATAATTCTCAGAGGCAACATTCAATTGCTGGATAGCGCCCTCTAGTTGTAATGACTCATGAGATTGTTGGGGGAGGGGCAGACATGCGTTTAACAGTATTAGACCGTAAGTCATTAATATTAGACAGCAATTCTTTATCAGTATTGAAATTCTCTTGCACTTTCCAAGATGGATATCTTAAGGGTTTTTCTCTTTTATCTAAGTCCTGCTCTGGATAAAGCTCTGATTGTGCTTGTGTATTAGTTTCCCCAGACTGTATATCACTTTCCTGAAACATCATGTTAGCAAGGAGAAGGGTTGATAGAAAGTTTACAGAGAAATGTATAACTTCTTCTGTGGCTGAGTTCAGGTTTTAATGCAATAATTGCAGGAATATTTTCTTTTTCTTTCTTATATGTTCACAGACAAGAGTTGTGTTGTACTGTGTACACATGCAGAGCATAAACTTGCAGTTGCAAAACATTCACATCAATAATTTGTCCTGACACTGATGAGTGTTATGCTGAGATATACTTGGAGGCATGTACAGACTTGTGTAGAGGTGGCTGCACTCTCTATAGCAGTTATATCCAGTATCCATGTAACATCTCACTGTGTATACTAGTTAGCAAGGATTCTTATAAAGCATTCCACTGTTCTTTCAACTGTTCTGTGTGTCCAATCTAAGCATTGATAGTGTGATCTCTGTAACTTACAGTTGTGATGAGATAGCGATAACTTCAACCTCAGTTGGGGTCCACAGTCATTGACTCAATCAGAATGATATTTTGCAGATCTTGTGAAGTTTTTTCCATAAACTGAGAGAATCTTACAACAATAAACATTTGATAGGTCAAAAGAACATGCTGTTTCTGCTTCTTGCCATGAGGCTGTTGCAATGCATCTCTGGGAAGGGCTATCTATGCAACATTAGCTAATCTAAAGGAAAGGGAGGAGCAGAGACAAAACATTGAAAACATTTAAAGGTATATGACAGTCAACATGACAGTCATGGGAAACATGACAGTTACCTTTACAATCTGCATGCAATCTGCCAACATGCAGTGCAATTGCATACAGATTGACAATGAGCTTGACCGAGCAAATAAAGACACTAGAATACAATATAATCTAATCTCTCCGAAGATATGAGCCCGCTTAAGTACACAGAAGTCACTTATTAATTTTAAGATTTAATATCCCGAAAGTGGGCGGTACATAAAATATGTACAAGGTATAAAAAGTTACAGAAAATGCAAATTACATATTGCTACAGGTCACATTTCAGCTACTCAAATCTGTACATTTATGTCACATGGGGTTTCACTCGAACTTTCACATTAGGTTCCATGACAATATCATGTTCAATAACCCAGGTGAGACCTAGCAGTCCTGAGAACTTCTCTCTATTCCTCTGTAAGAACTCCTTTACCTGCTGTGTTTGTGGCTTTGATAGGCAGTTGGAAACTAGGACTGAGTTCTCCCCTAACGGGGACTTAGAACAAACTTCAGCCAGGGAAACTCCTTGCTCACGGTCCTTCCAAGGATTTAGAAGATTTATATGGTATATCTTATAGGGCTTCCTCTTCCTAGGTTGGTGTATCTTAGTTAATCTCCCCAACCTTTTCTACCACATCAAAGGGCCCCTTCCACCTGGCAAGGAACTTACTTTCTACTGTAGGTATAAGCACAGCCACCCGATCCCCAACCTAGAACTGTCTAGGTTTGGCAGACCGGTTGTACACCTTTCTTTGTGCCTCCTGCAAATTTTGCATGTTCTCCTTGACGAGAGGCATCACCTTGGTGATCCTCTCTCTCATTTGAATTATATATTCTACAACTGTCTTTTGAGGAGAGGACTTTGCTTTCCCACGTTTTCTTCACTATTTTAAGAAGTTCCTGTGGTGTTCGCCCGTACACCAATTCAATCAGGGAAAATCCTGTGGATGCCTGGGGCACTTCTCTAATAGCAAGCATCAATGCTGGGAGTAGATAATCCCAGTATTTACCATCTTGTTGCACAACCCTTTTAAGCATTGACTTGAGAGTTTTATTGAACCGCTCTACCAGCCCATCTGCCTGTGGATGATAGACAGATGTGTGCAGCTGTTTGATTTGGTACAACTTGCACAGATCTGCCATTACCCGTACATAAATGGGGTGCCCTTCAGGAATCCTGTCCTTGAGAACATATTAAACGATTCCCTTTCTTTTTTGAAGTAGTCTGCCTTAGGGGAATGGTCTCTGGGTGCCTGGTGGCATAATCGAGTACCACAAGGATGTATTGGTGGCCCTGAGATGATTTCACAAAAGGGCCCACTAAATCCATTGCAATACACTCAAATGGTACCTCACCTCAATCATGGGCAATGGCACCAACAGGTTTCTCAAGTAGGGCACTGGCGCAGTCAGCTGGCAGATGGGACATGAACTGCTGAAGCTTTTTTCAGCTTCAGGTACTTGTGACACTCCATTAACTATAAGAACCTGTTCCCAGGCATTTTTCAATGTGGGATCCCTCTTTTGGGCAGCATAAATTGCACCCATGACACCTCGAAATCAGGATGGGCAAGACTAGAGGAGCTCTCTTCCTCGTCTTTCTTGGATATAACCTGCAGAGGAGAGGCTTCCTATGTTTTCCCCAGCCACGACCTGCCCCTCAGGGGCCTCCTTAGCTGGTGGACCATCTGCCCCAGATGCAACTCTATCAGTGTCCTCTATAGTCTTGGTGTCCAGTTCCTTAAAGGGAACAAAGAAGTCTGACTGTCCCAGTAGTCCATGGCTCACATAGTCCCAAAGTTCAACAAATAAATGGTAGTCTTTTCCTATAATAATATCATGGAAGAGGTCAGGTACTACCCCAACCTCCTGGATAATTGTGCCACAGGCACAACAGTGGGTATTCCTTGGTGTATGCATACCACTCTCAGAGTTCTCGCTGCTGGACCCACCTCTCTAGCTACCCTGGTACCCACAAGTGTTACCATACTTTTGGAGTCCAACAGCGCTCTGGCGTGAAGCTGGTTCACCCAAGGTCACATTCAAACCGCCCTGCAGTCAGGTCCAGGTGGGCAGCACAGACCTTCTGGGCATAAAAAGACATCCTCCGTAGAGCACTACACTCCATGGGCTCCTCCTGCAAGGGACAGTGGGCCTGGATATGACCCCGGGAGTGACACCACCAGCAGAGCATGCCCTCATTCCTTCAGGCCAGAGCAGAGCTCTGGGACTTGGGCTGGTCGCTCCTTGGCTCTCCTGAGTGCTGACTCCCTGGTTTATGGGTGGCTTGGCTCTCCTCACTGGTAAGGGTCCTCAAGATTTAGCAGGTCCCAATATATCCTCTACCACACAGTATATCTCCATTTCCACTAGTTCATATGCTGTCTTGGGGTCCCCATGACTCACCCAGCGCTGAAGGTCATTTGGCAGCAACCTCAGGTACCGGTCTAACATGACCCAATCCACCATCTGGGGACCAGTCAACATCTTGGGCTGCAGCCATTTCTTGACCAGCTGACTCAAGTCATGTATCTGAGCCCTTGGTGGACAGCCCGGGTGGTCCCTCCAGCGGTATACCCTTTGGGCTCGCATAGCAGTTCTCACTCTAAGGCAGGCCAAGATTTCTGCCTTCAGCTATTTGTAGTCCTTGGCATAAGCAAATGACAAATCAAAATAGGCCTTTTGGGGATCCCCCATGAGGAAAGGAGCAACAATATCAGCCTGCTGGTCTTGGGGCCATCCCTCTCTTTCTGCTGTTCTTTCAAAAGAAGCCATAAATGCCTCCACATCATCACTTGGCATCAAATTTTGCAGGTAGTGGCTGGCCCTCATGGTGACCTGGTTGCTAGGGGCAACAACTGTTTGTTCCTGACCCTGTACGAGATGCAGCACTGCTTTCTCTAAAGCAGTCACATGTGCTTAAGTGATTTCTTGCTGGAGTGTGAACTGAGCGACCAGCAAGCGAGTAGTTTCTTGTTGCTGGGCCATTGTATCCTCATGGCGATGATTGGCCAGGGCTTTTATAATCTCTTCCATGTCACCTTCTGTGATTTTTCAGAGCTTGTGCAGCCCTGACCCAGGACATGCAAACATGGCACTTTAAATGTTACTTCTGCTTACAAATGGCTTTTTGGAGGTCAAACCCCAAATATCGGGGAAATGTATCTGACATCCAGTACAAATTCCCGGTGTCCTGTACATACCACATACTCAGATGTGGTAAGATACCGCTCAGTAAATTGTCCCTGTTCGAAGTTCACAGTTGAATTTTCGATAGGTTCAAATATTCGACCGAGATCTGAAAAGGAGGGGTGTTCGGCCGATCACTATTTGTTACAATCCCACTAACAGTTGAGCGTTGCAATATTTAGTAGCCAGGAAATGTCACAGATGGACTTATTGCACATGTGACAACCTATCACAGGACCACGCTTTAATTCACTGAGCTCCTGAGAGCGACCCATTCTTTCACAAATGTTTGTAGAAGCCGTCTGCATGCCTAGGGGCTTGATTGTATACACCTGTGTCCATGGAGGGGATTGGAACACCTGAATCACATGATTTGGAGGGCCGGCCCAATACTTTTGACAATATAATGTATGTACTCTATATGAAAATATTTGCTCATTTGTGATAATATTGTACTCATACTGTATGTGATATCTACTCATATGTCTATTTCCAGATATGTTCTCCATATTATTTTGGATGAAGCAGATCCTTTAGTATCTGTAAAATGTGTCAAAGATCTACCACTATTCACTGGTGACAACTGTTACATCTTGGATGAGCGTATGATACTCTCACTAATATAATAGCTGAGGAAAGGGTAGCATACTATATATGGATAATATCTGTAAGGTTAATGTACGTTATACCTCTGCACTGTATATGGGAGTATGTATTTAAGACACCAAGTTTTATATGTTATATAAAAAAGAGATTTTTATGAAAATATTGCTTTGAGTTTGTTGAGAATGTGCTTGACACCTAAAAAGTCCCTGAATGTTGATTTTTGCATTGGCTAACTACAATGCAATTCAAACTGCAATGGCCAGTACATATTCAAACCCACCACTATAATTTTGTTTGATTCTAGATATATGGATTTCCTTGGCACTACACTCTTATCATAAGGGAATGCAGAACCAAAGAAATTTAGCTTTTATTATTATACTGATCCTCATATAAATTAATGTCTAAGGTCACTTAAAAGCCTTGTAAAACTCTGTCTAATAGGCAATGGTCAGTGATAAGCAACCTTGTTCCATGTCCACCACAGACTTCTGTTGGTCAGCTAATGGAGCAGCTTTTCTTGGTCAGGGGTTGGTCACACTTCTGCTAGAAAAGGAAAATGATGCTAATATTTTGTTTTTCTCTCCCCAGAATTGTTTCATTGTTCTGGAACATTATTGTGCTGTCAGAGTCTCTACTCGGTTGTTTCTACAAATCGGACTCTGACCAGATTGGAGACAAGACTGTGTGCCACTCTACCCGATTTTAAAGTAGATCTTTGTGTGGAGCATTTACGACGACTGGGCTGCATTGTGGAGCAGATTTTGGATGATTTTTCCTGGTCGGGGGTAACACACATTCTATACTTTATAGATAATAATGGAAAGTGTTGGTGATGATCATTGTATTATTTATAATGTTGAATTGTATAAAAAGAGATACAAGACACATGGACAATGGGCTCCACCGGTAATTCTCCACAATCCACTTTTTACACTCTGGGGATTTATACTGCTGGGCTCTTCTTTTCCCTATAAATAATAGAAGAGACAAACATATTGTCCCCCCTGTATATCTATATCTATGCTGCCCATCACTATAGGGCAGCCTTTCTCAACCAGGGTGCCTTGAGGTGTCCTTCAGGGGTGCCTTGGCAAAATGTCTAAAAATTGCAGAAAAATTGTATTCAAGTCAGTGGGTGGAACAAATGCCTTTTTAGTTACACAAAGCCACAGGTTTGCATTGTGCACCTTCTATCTGCCAGCATCCTGACAACCAAATGACATCAGTTGATAAGGAGGATGTCAGCTGCCTGCACAGCATCCTATATTTTGACCCTCCCTCACCCCTCTCCATCAGTGCTGGGGTCACATTAGCTAAGTGTGATAGAGAAAAACTGAGGGAGAGGATAACCCATGGAATACTAGTCAGTACCAGGGTGCAAAAGTGTATTTGCTTTGGAAGAATAAATCACCTCTAATGTTGGGTGTCCTACATGTGTGGATGTTGCTGCGTTATATAAAACTATTAGAGTAGTTTTTCACATTTTAGAATGGGGTTCCCTTTTACAATTATGGACAGTCTTGAGGTATCACATTTTAGAATGGGGTACCTCAAGACTGTCCATAATTTTAAAGGGTGCCTCAAGACTGTCCATAGTTTTAAAAGGGTGCCTCGGGACTGTCCATAATTTTAAAGGGTGCCTCGGGACTGTCCATAATTTTAAAGGGTGCCTCGGGACTGTCCATAATTTTAAAGGGTGCCTTGACTGAAAAAGGTTGAGAAACACTGCGCTACCATACAGTCCACCATCTGATGGACCAGACCATGCTGATATCTATTTATATCCTCCAGTCCTTGAAGAGTGGGAGCTTCTTAAATACCAGATACTGGGCTGCTCTGATAGGTAGGAGACTCTTACAGGAGAAAGTCAGAAACATTGGGGGGAGGGAGGGGGGAACTGTGTCCTACTTACCTGTCCATAGTCCTAAACTAGTGAGTTGTTAAGGTACTGAACCTAATCTCCTAGATTGTAAGCTCCAAAGAGCAGGGCCCTCGAACCCCTCGTGTTTTGTTTTGTTACTGTATTGTCTCATGTACTGTCCCCACTAAAATGTACAGTGCTGAGCAAACCTTTTAGTGCTATATAAATAATGTATAATAATAATAATAATAATTACTTCATAAAATATCCATTACTGAGTAGATTAAATAAGTCATTCATCAGAGGTTGGGAATTGGATCATCTCCCAGGATCCTGTAGGGGAAATATAATCACATTGACTTTCTATAGATTTGGTAATGGAGGACAGAGAACTACACAATGTGAGAGAGCAGTAACTTATCAGCCCTCCATAGGAAGAAGGGAAGGAGGGGGCATTTCAATGGCAAATAGTCCTCATTTCATACCAGGACTCATGTTGTTAGGATGGGCCTTTGTTAAAGGGTTAGTTCACTTTACCTAAAAACATCCTATGTAGGTAAGGGGTGCCTATAGATAAAAAAACAACTGTGCAGCTTTGAGTAAAGTTGGATAATGCCCTTTAGGTGTGGGCATTTATGTACCTCATGAATATAAACAGAAGAATATTCCTGCACTTAGTGCATAAAGTGAACATCTAATAGCTGCACACAAAAAAATCAGAAAACAAGATAGGAAAAATATTACTTAAAAATAGTTGGGATGAGTAATATTTTTATCACTTAAAAACATTATTTTGTGTCATGAAATCAGTATACATGTAAACAACATCAAAGAGAACAAATATATTCAATAAAGTCTGACAAAGTGAATAATAAAGTTTGAATCTATTATAAATAATCACAACCACCTGTAGCTGTGAGTGGAGCTTACTGCCTGTGATGTCATCACACGCACCCGTGGAAGTTCCAGCAGCGCCATCTTTGATTTATACTGTTTCTGTGATTTTACCCATCCTTTTCATCATGCGTGCAAGAACATAATATACGTTGTTTCTTTTTTTTTACTGGTCGCACTATGAGATTTTGTTCTTCCTCTCCTTTGAACCCTAAACTGGATGCCTATGAGGAGCCGTACAGGAAGCATTACTGTGGAGTCATAGAGTTATATGCGATCTCAATGATTGGAGGTGCATCTCATGGTGTATGGCTGTACGTCAGCTGAGCTCTTATTATCTCATTTGTTTGGAATCCTATCAATCTGGTAAGAAGTGTGTGAATACTGGTGGCATGGATATCCTTAGAACACTACTTCCTTCTGGGATTTACAGGTGGTTGTGATTATTCAAAATAGATTCAAACATTGCACAAAAAAACTTTATTAGACTTTGTTGAATATAATGTGTTTTTTTATATTTGTGTATATATTGATTTCATGACAAAAATTTAACTTATTTTGAGTAATATGTACCTCATGAAGCCTAACGGAAAAACTCCTACACATGACATCATCCCATCATGCTTTGCTGCTAGGAAATTGCTAAGATACTCCCAGCTGTTCTGCTCACCTCCGCCATAACAGGAGCGAGCTGTCAAATCCCTAGGCATTTGTGTGGTCCATTATCTTCTATTGCAGCATTGCCAAGCTCAGAGCTGCTGTTACAGGGGAGTGGGAGTGCATACACGGGGATCTGTATCAGTTGGGAGTGTCCAGCCAACATCCCAGAAACAAGGCAGGATGGGATGATGTCATCTGTGGGAGTTTTTCAGCCAGGCTTCGTGAGGTACATAAATGGTCTACAACTATAAGAAGGACATTATTTACTGAGAGCTGCACAGTTTCACACCTCCCAATTGTCCCTGATTCCAAAGGACTGTCGCTCATTTGGAACAAAGTCCCTCTGTTCCTCCTTCCTCCTAATTTGTCCCTCATTTTGGTCTGATCTGTATAGTTGTATATAGAATGCACTATTTATCTATCAAAAAGTGTTTCTCAGTGCTAAACCTTTATCCAAATTTAAATTGCATTTGTAAACTTCAAAGGCCAGTATAAAGGAATAGTAGTTGTAAAAAAAGCACTTGTGGGTTTAACAAATTTTTCTGTATAATTCTCCTTTCAGGGGGCATGGCAGGGGGTGTGTCGTATGCCTACATACATTTGCTAATAGGTGTACCTCGTTCCCACCTCAAAACGTTGGGAGGTTTGCAGTTTGCTTTTATCTGCAATTCTCTCTTACCTGCATAGGCATTTTTTGGAAAAAGTGAAGTACTGTATATCCTTTGTTGGCAATGACAGAGGTCAAACGTATCCTGTAAGTCTTCACAAGGTTGGCACACACTGTTGCTGGTATGTTGGCCCATCCTCCATGCAGATCTCCTCTAGAGCAGTGATGTTTTGGAGCTGTAGCTGGGCAACACGGACTTTCAACTCCCTCCAAAGGTTTTCTATGGGGTTGAGATCTGGAGACTGGCTAGGCCACTCCAGGACCTTGAAATGCTGCTTTTGAAGCCACTCCTTCGTTGCCCGGGCGGTATGTTTGGGATCATTGTCATGTTGGAAGACCCAGCCACGTTTCATCTTCAATGCGCTTTCAGATGGAAGGAGGTTTGCACTCAAAATCTCACGATACATGGCCCCATTCATTCTGTCCTGTACATGGATCAGTCGTCCTGGTCCCTTTGCGGAGAAACAGCCCCAAAGCATGATGTTGCCACCCCCATGCTTCACAGTAGGTATGGTGTTCTTTGGATGCAACTCAGCATTCTCTCTCCTCCAAACACGACGAGATGTGTTTCTACCAAACAGTTCTATTTTGGTTTCATCTGACCATATGACATTCTCCCAATCCTCTTCTGGATCATCCAAATGCTCTCTAGCAAACTTCAGACGGGCCCAGACATGTACTGGCTTAAGCAGGGGGACACGTCTGGCACTGCAGGATCTGAGTCCCTGGCGGCATAGTGTGTTACTGATGGTAGCCTTTGTTACGTTGGTCCCAGCTCTCTGCAGGTCATTCACTAGGTCCCCCTGTGTGGTCCTGAGATTTTTGCTCACCGTTCTTGTGATCATTTTGACCCCACGGAGTGAGATCTTGTGTGGAGCCCCAGATCGAGGGCGATTATCAGCGGTCTTGTATGTCTTCCATTTTCCAATTTTTTGTTCCCACCGTTGATTTGTTCACACCAAGCTGCTTGCCTATTGCAGATTCAGTCTTCCCAGCCTGGTGCAGGTCTACAATTTTGTTTCTGGTGTCCTTCGACAGCTCTTTGGTCTTCACCATAGTGGAGTTTGGAGTGTGACTGTTTGAGGTTGTGGGCAGGTGTCTTTTATACTGATAACAAGTTCAAACAGGTGCCATTGATACAGGTAATGAGTGCAGGACAGAGGAGCCTCTTAAAGAAGAAGGTACAGGTCTGTGAGAGCCAGAAAATCTTGTTTGTTTTGTAGGTGACCAAATACTTATTTTCCACCATAATTTGCAAATAAATTCTTTCCAAATCAGCCAATGTGATTGTCTGGATTTGTTTTCTCATTTTGTCTCTCATAGTTGAGGTCTACCTATGATGCCAATTACAGGCCTCTCTCATCTTTGTAAGTGGGAGAACTTGTACAATTGGTGGCGGACTAAATACTTTTTTGCCCCACTGTAACCCTTTAAGACCAGATGACCACTGCTGTGCCAAACTTCACCTTTGGCAGTCACCTCTGGTGGATACTTTATATGGACATGATGCTTGCTCTGCTCCCCAAGGAACCTAAACCAGCAGATGATCCAGAGGAAGGCATCCTTATTGTTACTTCTAGAGATGAGCGAATTATTCAAAAATTTGGTTCGGCTGATTCGCCGAATTCGCCAAAAAAATTCGCTTCGATCCGAATATATTCGCTGCGAATTTAACTTATAAAAAGGGTGTTTCTAGGCTTCAGAGAGCCTTTATATTAGTGCAGAACACTGTACCTTTAATTTAAATGCCCTTGGAGTCTGCTGGGGAAGAGAAATAATACTGTCAGTCAGTATGACATGCAGATGAGTGCCGTCGATCTTAGAATCACCGCACACTTCACTCATTTGTTTAAAACATTGGGCAGTCACGGGGCCAAAACCAGAGTATGGAGCCACAGTGTGGCGGTGGAGGCAGCAGCAATGGGAGGCCATACAGCACCCTATGACAAAATGGAACCCACCAGCAGTGTGAGGAGACCTGAAAGTGGCACATGGCAGAGTGTGGCGATGGAGACAGCAGCAATGGGAGGCCGTACAGGGACCCATGACACACTCTGGACCTGGCAGCAGCATGAGGAGGCGGTACAGGGGCCCATGACAGATTACGGGCCTGGCAGCAGCATGAGGAGTCGGTACGGGGGCACATGGCAGATTACGGGCCTGGCAGCAGCATGAGGAGGCGGAACAGGGGCCCATGGCAGAGTGTCTGAGGATGGACGTTGGCGCAGAAAGGCAGAGACCAACTGACTACATAGGTGGTTTTTATAGTACGTTATTTTGGCCTCCCTCTCAGCAGGTGTGAAAAAGGCCACCATTTTTGAACGGTAGCGAGGGTCCAACAAGGTGGACAGCCAAAAGTCATCCCTCTGTCTGATGGTTATTATTCGGCTGTCGCTACGCAAGCAACCGAGCATGCTATGGGCCATTTGTGCCAAGGAATGCGAGGGACTCCCTGCCTCCATCTCCACAGCATACTGCCACGGTGCGTCTGGGTCCTCTGTCTCCTCCTCCTCCTCTGCCAGATGCTCCTGCTCCTCCACTCCTGTCCGCTGAGTGGAAAAACCACCCATTTCACTCAATAATTCCTGAGCACCAATGTCCTCCTCTACCTCCTCCTCTTCTTCCTGTCCTGCCCCCACAGGGGTCATGTGGTGTTGAGATCTGTGCGCCACGTCTACCGCACCCTGACCAGCCATTGTTAACAGCATTTGTTCCAGGACGTGCAACAGAGGAATGACGTCGTTCATCCCATAGTCCTGCCGACTCACGAATAGCGTGGCCTCCTCAAAGGGCCTGAGCAAGCGGCAGGTGTCACGCATGAGCTGCCAATGGCTGACATCTAAGTTACACAGGGGGAGTACCTTTATCCGCTTGTAACATCAGGAAATCGGTGATGGCCTTTCGCTGCTCGTAAAGGCGGTCTAACATATGTAGGGTTGAATTCCACCTTGTTGCAACGTCGCAGATCAGGCGATGCTGTGGAATTCCGTTCTGCCGCTGCAGCTCAAGGAGGGTGTGCTTTGCGGTGTAGGAATGGCTGAAATGCATGCAAAGTTTACGTGACATTTTAAGGATGTCTTGCAGTGGGATGGTGGATTTTAGGAACCGCTTGACAACCAGATTGAACACGTGAGCCATGCATGGCGCATGGCACAACCTTCCTTGACGCAGAGCAGACACCATGTTCTTTCCGTTGTCGGTCAACATGGTTCCGATTTTCAGTTTGCGCGGAGACAGCCATCTGTCGATTTCTCTGTTCATTACACTCAGAAGTTCCTCCCCTGTGTGACTACGTTCGCCAAGGCATACCAGGTGCAGCACAGCGTGACACCGTTGCGCCCTGCACATGTGATATGCCGGTCGGGTAATGGGACTTGGCACGGGGGGGTGGCGGCTGAGGACACGGCGTAAGAAGAGGTGGTAGAGGCGGACATCTTTGCTGGACCAAGGACGTGCAAACGTGGAGGCAAAAGCGGCGTGACCTGTCCAAGTTGCTGGTGCGGCTGTGCCGGCACCACGTTCACCCAGTGGGCCGCAAATGACATGTACTGTCCCTGACCGTAGTTACAGCTCCACACGTCGGCGCTGCCGTGCACTTTGGCAGAGACCGACATGCTCAAAGACTGGCTCACCATCTCTTCTACATGTGAATGCAGGGCTGGCACTGCCTTTTTGGCGAAGAAATGCCGGCTTGGCACTCTCCACCGCGGCTCGGCACAAGCCATCATTTCTCGGAAAGGTGCTGAGTCCACCACTTGGAAAGGGAGGGACTGCAGCACCAGCAACTTGGACAGGAGGACGTTCAGCTTTTGCACCGTCGGGTGCGTGCTCGCAAACTGTTGTCTCTTGGAAACGGATTCCAAAAAAGACTGCTGACGGAATCCGTGAAGAGGAGTAGCAGGAGAAGGAGCATCTGAACGAGCGGAAGATGCCAACGAGCGACAACTCCCCTCAGCAGAGGTGTTGGAGCCTTGACTGGCTGATAGAGGGCGATTGATGTCGGGTGACGGAGCAAGTAACGGAGCGGGTGATGGAGCGGGGGCTGGGGCAGGCAGAACTGCCGTATCTTTATCACGGTTTTCCCAGGCCACCGAATGGCGACGCTGCATATGCTGACGCAACGCTGTAGTCCCAACATTGGCCCCCTGGCCACGCTTGACTTTCTGGCCACATAGTCGACATACGGCTACGTTTACTTCCTCGGGCGGATTGACAAAAAATTGCCACACCGCCGAGTAGGAAACTTTGCCCCCGCTACTCCTCACTGGCTGACTGCTACTTCCTCCGTGCACACCGGCACCACTACTGGCCGTGGTGGTAGGCTGCAGTGGAGCTGGTGCTCTACTCCGTGGCCGTTTTTGCTCCACTGACACTGCTGCGACCCTGCTGCCTCCTGGGCAACCCACCGACTGTTTTTCTCGCTGGCAAGCTGGCACCCTCTTCTCCTGATGATGCGGAAGCAATAGCCTGATGACGACGAGGCTGCCAAGTGCGATAGGCCTCATCATCATCAATTAGGGTCTCCGCGTCACTACTAGCCCCCTCGGCTGCGTGTGGGTCAGGAGACAGACCTGTCTCTAGACCGGCTACCGAGCCACTCTCCTCGCCAGTACTTCTTCGCCTGGCTGCTGAAGAGGCGGATGTCTCCCCCCGTTCCTGACCGCCCTCTGTTAGCTCTTCCTCACTGTACAGTGGGGCTGAGCCCACAGCATGCGATACTTCGCTTGGTGAGGGAACACCAAAGGACAGGGGCAGGTCGAGGACACGTGATTTCAGTGGGCTTGCTCCCGGGCCATGCCAACTAACGGTTGTGTCTGACGTACCCACCGACCGTTGGCTGTAGGTGTCAGAGGTGACCTGGGAAGAGGAAGACGACCGAGCCAATCAATCGATGACGGCAGGGTTGTCGGTGGAGACACGACCGCTGGATGACACCGGGAGCACTGGCTTCTGGCTGTGACTAGTGCTGCCTCGACCCCTTCCTCTGCTGCCACGTCTGCTCGCTCCTGAAACATTGCCTCCTCTGCCACTCCTCTGCGTGTTGTCTGACATACTCTTTAATTCAATAAGCACCCCAAAAATAAAACCGGATTTAACTCTTTGAACGTACAATAGTGGTTGTGAAGCAGAAAGTCAGTTTATTTAGCACAATCGGTCAATTGCAGCTTGCCATTGGTTGGAAACTGTACGTTTATGTCACTGGAATGCACTAATCACCCAAAAAATATTACCGCCACCCGCGTGTAAATGGATTTAACTCTTTGAACGTACAATAGTGGTTGTGAAGCAGAAAGTCAGTTTATTTAGCACAATCGGTCAATTGCAGCTTGCCGTTGGCTGGAAACTGTACGTTTATGTCACTGGAATGCACTAATCACCCAAAAAATATTACCGCCACCCGGCGTGTAAATGGATCTAACTCTTTGAACGTACAATAGTGGTTGTGAAGCAGAAAGTCAGTTTATTTAGCACAATCGGTCAATTGCAGCTTGCCGTTGGCTGGAAACTGTACGTTTATGTCACTGGAATGCACTAATCACCCAAAAAATATTACCGCCAGCCGGCGTGTAAATGGATCTAACTCTTTGAACGTACAATAGTGGTTGTGAAGCAGAAAGTCAGTTTATTTAGCACAATCGGACAATTGCAGCTTGCCGTTGGCTGGAAACTGTACGTTTATGTCACTGGAATGCACTAATCACCCAAAAAATATATTACCGCCACCCGGCGTGTAAATGGATCTAACTCTTTGAACGTACAATAGTGGTTGTGAAGCAGAAAGTCAGTTTATTTAGCACAATCGGTCAATTGCAGCTTGCCGTTGGCTGGAAACTGTACGTTTCTGTCACTGGAATGCACTAATCACCCAAAAAATATTACCGCCACCCGGCGTGTAAATGGATCTAACTCTTTGAACGTACAATAGTGGTTGTGAAGCAGAAAGTCAGTTTATTTAGCACAATCGGTCAATTGCAGCTTGCCGTTGGCTGGAAACTGTACGTTTATGTCACTGGAATGCACTAATCACCCAAAAAATATTACCGCCACCCGGCGTGTAAATGGATCTAACTCTTTGAACGTACAATAGTGGTTGTGAAGCAGAAAGTCAGTTTATTTAGCACAATCGGACAATTGCAGCTTGCCGTTGGCTGGAAACTGTACGTTTATGTCACTGGAATGCACTAATCACCCAAAAAATATTACCGCCAGCCGGCGTGTAGTCAGTTTATTTTGCACAATCGGCAAACTGCAGCACCAACTGTGCACGACAGCCACCAAAAAAAAAAAGGGTGTATGTCACTTTAAATTTTCAATTCTTTGATAGCTGTGGCCCTAAGTAACGATTCTGTGTCCCTGAGTAACGATTCTGTGTCCCTGAGTAACAATTCTGTGTCCCTGAGTAACAATTCTGTGTCCCTGAGTAACGATTCTGTGTCCCTGAGTAACGATTCTGTGTCCCTGAGTACCGATTCTGTGTCCCTGAGTAACGATTCTGTGGTTCTAAAGTCTCTGTGGCCCTAACTCTGTCCCTTCATACACACAGGTCTGTCTCTCTTGAATGACCGGAGGCTAATGGAGAATTCTAAGATGGCCGCGATTTATAGCTCCACCATTACACAGTGCTGGCTGGCTGCTGATTGGCTAATGCGATCACATGTCATGAATGCATTATGGCATTATGGGTCAGCGCGCCTTGTCTGCGCGCCTTCCCAGAGATCCCCGCCCCATCTTCTCTGTCCATTTTCTCCGTCGCCACACACGTCGCCGCCATTTTTGGGAAAATTCGATTCGTGCATCCGAAGTTTGCTAATCTTCGGATTCGTCGCGAATCGAATTTTTCCAAATCTTCGGAACGAATTCCACTTCGTCATGTTCGATTCGCTCATCTCTAGATACTTCTTAAACCTATTAGAAGCTCTTCATATTTGGTACTTTTTTTTTATGTAATCTTTATTTTAGAAAGATGTTGTCTTACAAATATAAATTTTGTCTTTCAGAATAATATATACACGAGCAATCATATAAAGTCAGTGCCCCATGGGCGCAGTACAGAGCAGAAGGTAGTCAGAGATGCACACTATTGAGACATGATTACAAAAAAAGAAATAAAGATGACCAAGACAAAAAAGAGTATATAATGCGCCAGATCCAATTCAAGGAAAATGAAAAGAAAAAAATGGTACGGTTTCCGATGC